TTTGAAAATAATTCTTTCTAGTGGTAGCGAACCAAAGTAGAAATTTTTAAAGCAAATGGATCTCTCATAAAACTTTTATCAGAACTTAAGAATCTAGCCATATGGCCTGCACTTTTATAAGTAATAGTGGACAAGTTACGCTAAAATTATTTTTTTTTAAATATTAAGACATTAATTTTGCTACCGTCTGAAAAGAAGATTTCTGAAACTACGGAAATTCCGTAGCAGTTGGAGGGTATGGCATAGCAAGGTGAACGTATTATTCTAGACAACCCACGAAATGCGTGTTTAAGAAAATGGACATTGTTCCAAATGAGTGTTTAAGAAAATTGGCACTGGTGAAAATGTGGCTCTTCAATTTCAAAACACATTTAACCAGGAATTTCGTTCTTACTTTTCCTTGCTTTTTTATATACAAAGCATAAAAACCGGGTAAACCTGGTTGTTAGGGCACTGGGACCATGTCGAAGAGATCGTGGGTTCGATAACCACCGGCCGAAGACTCCCCGTGTAGTAAATGGTGACTGATGCACATTAAATCTGTCTGGTCACAAAGTCTTCCATGTTCCCATATCAAATTAAAACCTCTGGGGTTACTGATCCAGGAGCACCCTTGTCTTCGGGATTGGGATCAAAATTACAAGGACACGGAGTTGGGTCGGCTGCTCAACTACGGTTATAAAATAAAATAAAAAACACAAAGCATAATCATTGCAGGGCAAAGCCCCAGATTTCGGTGTCAGGATGGCTGCGTATATTGCAAGTATAGTTTTTCTGGCATCTCTTCTGAAGGAGTGTATTAAAAAATAAAGTGGTTTTCAAAATTCTAAATTCGTACAACGTCAAGATAATAGCGCTGTTATAATTTCATAGAGTTCGTTACAACTTTGCTAAAAGAACTGTTCAATTTTAATATCTTTTTTAAAGAAAGAGACTAATTTAAAAAGATGTTCTAAGTGATTTAGCCTAAAAGGACGACATCAAATTAAGAATTCATTTAAATCAATTAATAATTTTTTTTATTCATTTTTTTAAGAGAAAAATTTCCTTAAAGGAAATTTGAAATCAAATGTTATGTCCCTTTTCCTAAACAGGTTTTTTTTTTACTGTGTTCACTTTCCTAACCGTTTAAACGCGATGTTATTTTTTGAAACGTGTTATTTTCCGCAAGAAAAAGATTATTGTTTCAGTGCCAGCATCTAAAAGACATTCGTTTCTACCAAATAATCTCGTAATATTAATGTACGCAATATGCATAGCTGCCAACCCGGAAGTCTTAACTGCCCGCAGTATTTAAAGTGGTAGCGAACTGACAAACTCAAGTAACTTTAATTTCAGGCATACCAACTGCTCCGCTTCGCGCAGTAGTTTTAATAAAGTGGTAGCGAATTATTTTGTAAAATTCGTTAAAGAAGGATAGTTACGCCTACTTTTTAAAAGAGTAACCAGTCTATCAATTTTTAACGTAGCATTTTCATTGGATACTTAAAAATTTTGATATTTAGTGGGGGAAAAATTACTTAAAATGAAAAATACTAAAGTAAAAATAACTTAGATTTCACAAAGCAGAGCAAAGTTGGCATCTCCATACCTGCCAACTTTTACGCATTTGGCGTAAAATTTTATTTCTATATTTAAAGAGGTAGCAAAATATATGCTTTATATGTATTCCTTGCATTTATAAACTTAATTTAAAATCTTTTTGACCACCACTATTCTTTAAAAAATAAAGCATATATATTAATATGTAATACAATACCCTCCAACTTATGAGGATTTTGAAAATAATTCTTTCTAGTGGTAGCGAACCAAAGTAGAAATTTTTAAAGAAAATGGATCTCTCATAAAACTTTTATCAGAACTTAAGAATCTAGCCATATGGCCTGCACTTTTATAAGTAATAGTGGACAAGTTACGCTAAAATTAATTTTTTTTAAATATTAAGACATTAATTTTGCTACCGTCTGAAAAGAAGATTTCTGAAACTACGGAAATTCCGTAGCAGTTGGAGGGTATGTAATACTGTCATGTCACCACGCTTCTTCAACGCCATTAATAACAGTTGCTCTAGAGCACAACTACAGATCTAGATCGTCGGCTTGTCGCTACGCATAACCTTTCTCAAAACACAGCATATCTTTCTGCCTAAAATTGTAATTTAAATTCTAATTTACTACCACTGGGGAAAATCATCCTCGAATGGATTAAAAGTTGGCAGGTACGCGTCTCTGTAATTTGCGAAATTTTATTCGCATGTAATCTTTCCACTGTATTTTTTAGGTTTTTTATATTTGTTAGAGTTATTTAAATGTAGTGGTGATCAAAACCATTCTAAATAAAATTTATCAAGTCAATAATTTAATGCTAAATCAAAATCATAAAATTTACTGTACATTATTTACTCTAAATATTCAAATAAAAATTGGGATAAATCGGCAGGTATACTATATGTTAAATCGATGGATGGCAGTAAACAGACATACTATTATTCCATGATTATGTGTCATTACAAAACTGTTATTTCTAACTGACCAGTAAAAAGTCTCATTTCAGCTTTTGCACCTGGCTAGTCGTCATAGAAGAACGAATTTTCCTTCGCATCGTTTCCTGACGATCTGATCTCATTTCTTTCACATTTTTTCTCTCAAAGTTAAAAATACTACTTCAATCAATTTTTAAAGTTTTACATCAAGGTAAGCGTGTTTTTGATCTTTCAATATGTTTTAAACTATTACATTTATTAAGTAGGAGTGCAAAGATTCAATAGTTTTTTTAATAAACTATTTTTTAAAAATATCTTAATATTAATATTATTTTATTAATTAAAATTCTAAGTAAAAAATACTACTTCAATCAATTTTTAAAGTTTTACATCTAGGTAAGCTATTTTTTGTTCTTTCAATATGTTTTAAACTCTTACATTTTTAAGTAGGAGTGCAAAGATTCAATAGTTTTTCTTTTAATAAACTATTTTTTAAAAATATCTTAATATTAAGTTATTAATTGAAATATTTAGCGCTCAGTGAAATTAAAAATAGTTCGAAACTTTTCTCACGTTGAAATTTTTATGTGAAATTTCAGGGTTATAATTTTTCTTCTTCTTTCAATTTCATTCTAATTTTGCTTTCGCTTGATTGGGAAGTATTTTGTGCATATTTTATAAGTTATTTATTTATGACTACAATAAATTCAAATGCGTCAATGAAGAGCAGTGTACTTAGAAACGCAAAATACGAATTGAATTTCTTCTGTACTTTATTATTTCAATAATTTAAATGTCATTTAGTTAAAAAAAAAAGTGTTTAAATGAAGTTATTTAGTTTGCTGTAACATATCGAGTGATTATAAACAATTCTATGATAGTTTATTCTTTTATTTTAACAAATTCATACATTTATGTATAAAAACTGATGGCATGTTTACATATTTTATAAAGGTATTTTTTAACAAATTAATTATAATTATGTACAACAATTGAAATTATGTAGAATATATTAAGAAAAGTTCTTTATAGGCAATTTGATTTAGAAATCGAATGTTTCTAGTGAAGAGGCTATATTGCCCAACTGCTCGTATAAGATAATAAGAGTGGTCTAATATTGCCACCAAAAATATTAAATTTTTATCACCACAGTGATTAGCGACAATCAACAAACAGATAAAAGTAATGTTTAATTTAAATTTAACTCATAAATTTATTAATGGCAAACCACAAATTTTGCTAACATGTATAAAATGCCTTTACAAAGAAGTTGTAGTAATTATATTCTTAAAACAAATGGATGCTTAGCTACTATTTTAACTTTGAAAATTAATGAGTGCAATCTTCAAATTCAAAAATAAATATTTTTCGTATATTATCGTAAGAAGAACTACCTTGTTTTTGCGAAATAAATGCGTCAATATTGGTCAACAAAATATGTCACCAAATGCATAACCAAGTCAATGTGTCACTTGTGTCACCATTTTTTACTTTTCCGGAAATAAGTTTTAGAACAAGTGCTTCACTACTAAAATTTATTCTTTACATAAACAATGTTTATCATGCTTTTTATATTCACCTCTAAATTATTTAAGTGTTGAAGTGGTTAAAATAATTTTAAATCGAAATTCAAATATGAAATTTGCTATCACTTTAAATATCTGGGAATATCACTTGGCGAAAACTGGATAAAGTGGCAGATTATATTAATACGGAAATGTTAACTTCTCTGTTTTCATCAAAAAAATTTTGTAAGGAGTAGAAAATTAAAAATAAAGTTTTCAGAACTTTTTAAAATTTTTGAACTCTTTAAAAGAATGATCAACCGAAAAATAGTACCTGTTCTCCTAAAATGAGCACATTTGTGTCTTTGCCTTTGATCAATTAATTTTTTTTTATTTTTTTAAATAATGATTGTTTGTTTTTAACAAAAACTCTTAAAGTTTTCTAAATGTATTTTTTAAATGCATTAAATTTATAATAAAAAATTATTATGGATTTAATATTATGAATAAGAGCTTAATTCGAATAAGTGCCAGCTCTGTCCCTGTCAAAGTAAATTTTCATTGTAATTACTACCCATATTAAATATACATTATATAAATTTTTAATGCATTGTACCTATTTGTACAGATTTTGATGTTATAAAAATGTATTTACTTTTTTCGTTTAAGCTTTTCATTTTTTCACAATTCATCACAAAATTGTTGTCCCCTATAGTTATCAATGTATGCCTTATTATAAGGTTGACAAAGTAACGCTTAAAAAAGAGTAATAAAAAAAATCGGATTTTTTGGTTTAAATCAAATTAATTTTATTGATTACTATTTTTTCCCTTATGTTTACTAATAAAAGCTCGGATTAAAAATGGAAAATACTGTACCTTGCATAATACAATTATATTAAATCATGAAAGAAAATACTTTTGACTCAAATTGGTAATTATCTTAAGACAACTGAGCAATTTAAATCAATTTATTCTTTTTAACAACAATTTGATTTTTATCGTAATTTAAATCATAATTAAAATCAAGTGATTTATATATTTTATAAAAACTATATTAAAGCTAAAAGACTTAATAGTTCCTACTTAAATGATTAAAATGATTTTATTATTGTTACAAACTAATCACAGAATAAAAAAATAGTACGTGGAGTCCCTCCGCGCGGAGGAAGTTAAACTTCGCAACCTGCGACGTTAATTGTAGAAGAATCAGCAGTCGTAGAATGATCACTTGTTCTATTCAACGACTCTTTTTCCTGCTCCGCTCGCTTCCGTGCTCTGTAATCACGGTAATATTGTGCATTTTTCCCTCGTGGACCTCTTGAACCAGTGGAAGTGCTTGTGGTTGCCTCATCGTCTCGCCCTGGAAAATGTATTTGTATTAATAATGTATGTGAATGCGTCATAATGTAATTTCAGAAGAGAAAACCTAACAATCAATTGATATTCACAAGAGACGTACCTTGACATAACCTTAAATCCGTCGCATTGTCCGTGGGATTGTTTTCACTCATTTTTTACAATTGTTATCCACTAAATTTGAAAATAAAAAATACTACCCTATTAAATTATATGTGTATCAAAACAAACTAAAAAAATATTTATAGAAAAACAATACTTTTATTATTTTTATGCTAGTGAGAACCAAAACAATATGGAAATGAATGAGGGAAAACTGGATCCTACCACGTGATTTCCCGGCCAATAAAAATGTAGCGTTAAACGTTTAACGCAACCTTGTTGAAAGTCGCATAAGAAGTATAACTTCAAAAAAAAAACAAAAAAAAAAAAAAACAGCTATTTTGACAGTCCTACCTTCATTTACAAATAGAAACAACAGATTTATTAAGTTTTAAAGATATTTTGGGTTTAATTTAAATAATCATACAACTAAAATTATACCATTGAAATAACATATGCATATTAAACATGAAATTAATTTGCATGCAAATAATAATAAATTGTAATTGAAAAGTTTTACGGCTTTTTGATCTTTACTCATCACTCTTTTTTTTAAAATTTATTAACCTTTTTCAAACATGAAAAAGTAATTTAGGCATAGAGGAAATCTTCAATATCTATATGTCTAACTTTAGAAAACTATTAACACATTGTTGACCGGCAACTTTTCTTTAAATTAACCCATGTGCCCGGCTATAGTTTTGAAAGCAGATGTGGAAGTAAAACAATACAAATAAACTTTAAAATTTTTTTAATGAATGCCGTATGATAAAAAGTTAACAATCACTTTTAGAAAAAACCACTAAAAAATCTAAAGTTAACAACCACTTTTTAAAATAGTCACCACAAGATCACTGCTGACGAAAACGCGAGTTAACTCGTGACCGGTCACCAACGTTTGGCCACAAAAACACGAGTTAACTCGTGACCGGTCATCAACGTTTGGCCACAAAAACACGAGTTAACTCGTGACCGGTCAGCAATGTGTTAACTATTTTATGCTGAAATCAAGGAATTTTTAAATCTACTGATCAATTTTCCCAATTTTATTTATTTATTTTTTTAAAGAAAAGAAAGTAACATAAATTCGTTTAAATTGCAAATTAAATCTTGAATAAAATCAAGCAATTTAAATTAGGTTAACCCTGCTTACTGCAAATACTATTGAATTGACATTAGAAGGACACTACATAGTGATTAAAATCGGAATAAATAGCTCGTTCAACTCATTATACTTCACATGTTTGTAAAATGTGTTAAATTTACAAAATTAAATACTTAATTAAATTAAATATAAAATTAAGAAAAATAAAAATTAATGATTTGACGTTAAAGATTTTTGTATCCAAATCCTTTAAAAGGTAAAATTAGAGATAAATTGGTATAAAAAAAAAAAAAAAAAAAAAAAACTATTTCAATTACATAGTTTCTGAGAGAAGCTCTCATTATCCTTAAGCGGATATTACACAAAAGAAAGATATGAGCAACCGCAAGCGTAACTTCCACTCTATTCTCAGGGTTGCTCAATTGTCTGAATAGATTGATCTTTACTGGTTACCATATTTTCAAATTTATGTTAACTTTTGGCTGATATTATGTTTTTTTGTCAGATGCTATTATCTAATAGTTTCTCAACGCTGTTCGTAAAAGGATAAAAGGAAATCACAGACGTTGTAGAACATTGATTGATTTAAGTTAATTTTGGGCATTTTGTAATCTTTATTTAGCTGCAATTAAAAATACTAAACAATTCACTTGCTTATTAGTGGGGCTACATGGTATAAAAATGATTATCACTAATATGAAAAAGATTTTTAAGAAACGATTAAGATTTTTATAAATTTTATTTAAAGTTATTTTAACACCACTAATTGCAAATGTTATTACCCTCTGGTGAGTCTATTAAAATGTTAGCAAAATTATAAAAAAAAATTTTAAGCATTAGTTTTAAATTGATTACCACTCAATAAAAAAATTTTGCAAAAATTGTAGCGTTGGCTGCTTTGAAAAAGTTTAAAATTTGAAAGTTTTTCAAGAAATTTTTTTCCAGTTTATTATTGAAATTAAATGAAAATATTTTTTTGCTTTGTAAGTCATAACTTTAGTTATGATTTCATAAGTAAAGAAATAATAAAGAACTAACATTCAATTGAATTTTTATCACTTTTTACATTTTAAGTCGCCAGTAGTATCCTCGTATACGTAATGCATTGTCTTGCTAGCACACACTATCACATTGCAATGAT